GCATCCCCCCGAGCACCGTTAATGTTTAAAGAGCCCAGCTTTATGTCACTCATAATTAAATTATAGTTGCATCCTAACAAAATCAAAAACCTGGCTGAAGAAAAATAAAAGAGAAATAATAAATACAAGATGTACTTATTCATCATTATTTACACTTCCCTCTCTAACCCTCTGAAGTATCTTCTTTAACCTAGCCTTCTCTGGGCTGCTGAAGACAGGTTCCCCTAAGGCTTCTTGGCGCCGCATGAGAGCCCTGGCAGAATTGTGAAAAATCTGCAAATCAGCAAAAAAATTCTCTAACTTCACCCCCCTCAACCCCTTAGTTCCCGCCAGAAAGGATCTGATCCTCTGGAAAGAGTACTCCTCTCCCTTTTCTACCTCAACCATGTCAAAGAATGACTCACTGTCACTGTCCTCTGAGTCCTCTGCGACTCCCTCTGGCTGAGAGGAGGAACACAACGACTCTGTCCTTGACACCTTCCCTTTCTGTGCCACACTGCCTTTGCTCACTTCTTCGTTTTTTCTTTTGACAGGCAACCTTAATAAATCCTCATCCATTTCAACATCCTCCAGAACAGACTCAGCTACTCTGGCTGCAGTGTGCTCACTATCTGCTTTCTGTGTGACCTGAGTGTCTGTGTGTGTGATACTGTGTGTATCTGCCTGTGTGCTTTCTGTGTGTGAAACCGTTGGCTCTGCCACGGACCCACTGACCTGCGGTTCCACCACCGGCGTTTCCGCCGCGGGCGCGTGCGCGGGCTCAGCCGTGCACAAAACAACCGGCAGCGGCTCCGCAGCGAGCGCGGACCCCAGCACCGGCGGCCCGGCCGCGGACAAAGGGACCGGCAGCGGCAGCGGATCCGCCGCAGGCGCGGGCCCCAGCACCGGCGGCCCGGCCGTGGACAAGTCAACCGGTAGCGGCTCCGCCGCTGGCACGGACACCGTCGGGCCGGCTGCGAGCGCGGACACCACGGGCGCGTCCACCGCCCTCTCCGGGCACGCGCGGATCAGGTGTCCTGCCGCTCCACAACCAAAACATCTCAAAATATCAGACGTTACATGGACAGTATACACAAAATCATCAATTTTAAACTTGAGAGCCAGATTTAATTCCCCTTCATCCTTTTTCAGGACCATCAGCACCTGTCTCCTAAAAGACACAACGTGCTTGAGGTGCGGGGATTTACAGCCCAGGGGGATCATCTTAATGGGAGACGCAAGCTGCCCGTGTCGAGCCAGCTCTCTCTCCAACAACTCGTTTCTAAGAAACGGGGGCACATTTGAAATTATAACTTTTTTAGCAGGAGTGACAAGGGGTAGCACGGGTAATATCGTCCCTTTAATCACTAGCCCGCTCTCCACCAGCTGGTTAGCTTTCTCCGTGCAGTCTAAAAAAATAACCACCGCACTGTTCATGCGGGAGGCAGATTTGACTCTGCCATATCCCACCACAGCCCCCACAGCCAGACCACACTCCTCCACCGACACACCGTCAGGTGGAGAGAGCTTGATGGCGTGTTTGCGAGTCAGCTTCTCTAACCCGGCGCAGCTGCCACGGGACGCCATGCCGGGCGGCGTGACTGCAGCTGCAGCCGCTAGACAAACAATTAGACAAACAAATCACCAGTGCAACCAAACAACACCACCAAAAAACACCAAAGTCGGACAAGTGATGCACAATGACATAAACTATCGCCCAGAGAAAAGTGAAATATTAACAAGGGTTTGAAAAGTTGTAAACTTTAAACGATCGCTCTCCGCTATACTCACCGGTCCACTCACAATCAGAGAGAGAGAGAGAGAGAGAGAGAGAGAGAGAGAGAGAGAGAGAGAGAGAGAGAGAGAGAGAGAGAGAGAGAGAGAGAGAGAGAGAGAGAGAGAGCGAGAGAGAGAGAGAGAGAGAGCGAGAGAGAGAGAGAGAGAGAGAGAGAGAGAGAGAGAGAGAGAGAGAGAGAGATTTTTGATTTTTCAAACCACTTTTATTCACATAGCAGAAGCCAACTGTTGCTATCTTTAACCTGTTACGCACCGCCCCCCCGGTACCGGGCGGATAAACGCGTCATTTGCAGGAAACAACGTCTAAGGAATCTTAATATTTAATAAACTATGAATGTTTTATATCCATGTAACGGGAAGAAACTCAGCTAACTGATTTAATTTTTTTTCCCAAAAAAAACCCACAATGCTAGCACTCAGCCTCTGAATTAGCCACGAGAGAAAAAATGTAACCTAAAATGGCACTTAAACTCACAAGTGCCATTGGAGACACTGAATCTAGTGGTACCCACCTCAACACTCAGTGATAAACATTTGCGACGCTATAAACGAAAGCATACATCATAACATGTGGAGCTAAGTAGCTAGAAACGCTAACATGGCTTACCTTGGTCAAAACTGGTCTTCAATGGCATTACAACGATAAAAAAACGATGCTGCAGTTAATCCATAGGTTCATCCTATGTATCTGTGCCTTCTTTGAAATTATTTCTGATAATCCATAAGCAATAAAACTGCTTTTTCGTTTCCAAATGTCAGAGCTAGAATGTAGCTCCACTCTGCTTTACATTTACATGCGCGCAGCCCCCACCTTTTCTCTTCACAATGTGTGTGTGTGTGAGCCTCCCCCTTCGATTCTATTGGCTCTAACGGTCAGAAAGAGGTGTCAACCATCAAAATCGAGCAAGGGGGGCCAGAGATATGGAAAAAAACCCATTTTCACCCAAATCACCTCAGAGGTGGGGTGGTTTTGGCTAAACCTCTCTAAAAAGGTCAAATGTCACTTGTTTTGCATCAATCTTGATACAAGGTACTTATTATATGTTGTACTTTGGATTCCTAAAGCTTTTAGTCTACTAACCCATCATCCAAGGGTAGTTTTCACTATCTGTAAAAAATAATATTTGGACGGACACTATCATTTACAGTTTTTTACTATGTCAAATCTGAATTTTCTTTAAAATAAAAAACATTTATATTGATTCTGACACTTCTACATCCAACTCACAGATGTAACCTTGCTTTGATAAAATAAATTATTCATATAACCCTTTTAGAAGTTAAGTTGTAGTCATTTGTTTTGGGCATGTCATTTTCGAGCCTGAAACATGAAAAACAGGCTTGGTACTTAACAGGTTAAACTATGCCGCCGAAACATAATTTCAGCCAATCAGCGTCGTCAAATCTGATGGTCACAGGGCTCCTACGTGAGCGCCCGGTGCAGTCTGTGAGTTGTTTGGACTCGTATCCAAGGAGACAAAACAGGAAGCTGTCATACACTCTGGAAGCTACCATTAGCAGCTAATGAAAACTCAGTTTTTGACATAAAAATGGAATTATGGATCATCAATCATTTTTTCAAAGTGACAGACACATTGGATTAACCTATGGATTAACCTTCAGCTGCGTTTTTCTCGTTTTTGATCAGAATTGTTTTTCTGCAAAAGGTGAGCATATCTCCGTGTTTTGCTACCTAAAGCTACGTCGTGTGATGTCTGTATTTGCTTCCCCTGTCGCAAGTTCTGATCGCTCAGTGATGATACTTATATTTCTAGAATCTGTGGAATCTCAGCTTGTTACACTGCAAAAAACAAAAAACAAAGAGGAGTAAAAGTAGCCCCGACTTGTTTTATTTTTTGAAAGTAGCCCTCACCCTAAAAAAGGTTGGTGACCCCTGCCTTGGACTATCTTCAGTTGCTAATACTGCTACTGATTCAATCTTAAAATGACATGCCATGAACTATCAGAAAAAGAAAAAAACTTTCTGTGGGCAGCTGGAGTTGCTTCAACTTAAGAGAGATGTATAAACTCATGCTTTAGGGTCCATTGAGCAGAATTGAAATTTAAATTGTTTTCTCTTTTTGGGATTAGCGTCAACAGGATGCCGTCAGTCTCGAGTCCCCGGTATCCTGTGAAAATACCATCACCTTTCGAGAACATTAAAGAAGTAATAGTTATTGTTACTCGCATGCCTGGATGTAACAACATATAATATAGTATAACATTTCACAAAAATAAATATGAAATAACTAGGGCTGTCAGTCGATTAAGATATTTAATCGCGATTAATCGCATGATTGTCCATAGTTAATCGCATTTTTTATCTGATCTAAATGTACCTTAGAGGGATATTTTTCAAGTTTTTAATACTCCTATCAACATATGAGTGGACAAATATGCTTTATATGTTTGTTTATTATCATTTGAACAATGACAAATATTCTCATGAATATTAAACACAACAACCTATGAACATTACAAATATTCGCCTCAATTCAACCTCTCTCATACAATAATACAATACTGTGTGTGTGTGTGTGTGTGTGTGTGTGTGTGTGTGTGTGTGTGTGTGTGTGTGTGGTGTGTGTGGTGTGTGTGTGTGTGTGTGTGTGTGTGTGTGTGTGTGTGTGTGTGTGTGTGTGTGTGTGTGTGTGTGTGTGTGTGTGTGTGTGTGTGTGTGAGAATGTGGAGCACCAGATGCTAACAACAACAACAACACGTAAGGTGTGCCTCGCTCGCGAGTCGCGCCACACATACACACACCCTCCCGGTCCTCCCGATGGCCAGTCCGGGCCTGCCGGTGAGCGTGGAAGTGTGATCTGCCACAAGCGGGTGGCAGGAGCGGGGCTGTCAGCATCAGCTTGTAGATGGTATTTTAAACTCGATGCGCTCTGAAACTACGGGGCGGCCGAGGACAAAAAAATACACATGCGTTAATCGCGTTAAAATAATTTATTAACGCGTTAACTTGACAGCCCTAGAAATAACAGTTGCCCACGTCCAAACTAATACTCTCGTTACGTTAATGGTTTTAAATGAGGCTTAATGTTCACCCAGCTTTTCAGAGAAAAAGTAGAGCGCTCTTAGGATGATGAATTCAAGACGATCCTTTAATCAGTGACGGGTTCCTTTATGCCTTCATTCAGATATCATCCAGGTGATGATGGGGACACTAAGGGTGATGTCCACTGGCGCTTCAGATACCAGCGGGTTGCCATAACAACCCACATACATCTTTACTACTCCTCATCTGACACAGTGGCTGACCTCAGACTGACACCAGGTCAGGTACCAGGGTATGTGAATCAATGTGCGAAAAGTAAAGAGAATCCTTAGCTTTTATATTGCTGTTTTTTTCCAACATATGTTGATCTCTATGTTCCATGTGACTGTCATCCAGATGTGTGGAGGACAGAGCGGAGTCCCAGAGGCAGCTCTTCCATATCAAAACAGTGACACTAAAGGAGGAAGAGGAAGAGAGAGAGCAGACCAGTACCAAAGAAGAAGAAACCTGTTTGAACGGGAAGGAAGAGGAGGAGCTAAGCTTGGATCCCCATGTCATGATACGCTATCACAGGGGGCCGGTCCTGATAGGACAGCCAATCAGAGTGTCTGTGAATCTGAGAACCAATTTCAGTGCTGAGTTTGCTGTCATAAGGTAAACACAAAATGATATCAGTTCACACACATCCTTCAAATGATGTATTATATAGATAGTTTCCCTATTTGCCAACGCTGTCTCTAGTCTTACACTGATAATGTGTGTGTGTTCAGGCTAAAGATAAAGAAGGGCTTGGTGTCAATGGTGGCCCAGAGAACTCTGACCTCTGACCTGTTGGCAGTGACCCTGGAGAGGAGCAGAGACTCCAAACATGACATTGTGTCCATCTTCTGCCACAAACACAGCACAGTCAAGCACACACACGAGTAAGTGAACAACTTGATTCCACTCAGTTCAGTGTTTCCATAAGCTATTACACTAACAGGCTAATGGATTGAGTTCCTTGAGCTAATCATGTTATAAATCAAAACAAAACCTCCAATTGTAGTGACAGCTTTTGCATACTAAAATATTCAAGAAAACAGTAGCCAACAAAATAATTTTTAATACATTTAAAAACTCCAACAGACAATCTCAGCTTTAAACAAAGACACATTTCCTCCCCGAAGTTACATTATTACATTGCATTTTTTTTTTTAGCTGACGCTTTTATCCAATGCGACTTACAATAAGTGCATTCGACCAAGAAGATACAAACTTGAAGAAAATAGAATCATATAAGTACATCAGGTTTCATAGAGCCAAAACATTTCAAGTGCTTCTCAACTGGCTTTAGATAAGCCAGTCCTTTGTTAGTATATAAGTGCTTTGTTAGTAAATTTTATTGCTCGAAGTGGAGTCGAAAGAGATGAGTTTTCAGTCTGCTCTGGAAGATGTGTAAGCTTTCTGCTGTCCTGAAGTCAATGGGGAGCTCATTCCACCATTTTGGAGCCAGGATAGCAAACCCACGTGTTTTTGCTGATGGGAACTTGGGTCCCCCTCGTAGTGCGGGTGTAGCGAGCCGTTTGGCCGATGCAGAGCGGAGTGCACGTGCTGGGGTGTATGGTTTAACCATGTCCTGGATGTAGGAAGGGCCAGATCCATTCACAGCATGGTACGCTAGTACCAGTGTCTTGAAGTGGATTCTAGCAGTTACTGGAAGCCAGTGAAGGGAGCGGAGGAGCGGTGTGGTGTGGGAACATTTAGGAAGGTTGAAGACCAGACGAGCCGCTGCATTCTGGATGAGCTGCAGAGGTCGGATGGCACATAGAATAGAATAGAATTCCTTTATTGTCATCGCACCAGGTACCACGAAATTTAAAAAAGCAATCCTCACAGTGCATTTCCACATAAAACGAATAGATATATATCTATATAAACATATACACACATAAACATATGCTCACACATCCATACCAACATGCATACATGCCCGCACATAATTTAAATACAGTTTACAATATAAAAAAACACAGGGATGATATTTTGCATCTCTGATGTCGATCAGTTAATAAATTAATAAAACTATTAAAAAGTAGTGCAGTTGCAAATTGTAACTGTGTGTGTGTGCTAGTTCAGCGTTTGACGGTGTTCAGTTCTCGTATGGCTCTGGGGTAGAAACTGTTTTTCAGTCGGTTTGTCCTTGATTTAATTGACCTGTAGCGTCTACCGGAGGGCAGAAGAGCAAACAGGAAGTGTCCAGGGTGTGAAGAGTCTGCAATTATTTTGCCTGCTCTGTTGAGGCAACGTTGGCTGAAGAGTTCCTCCAGAGAAGGCAGTGAGCAGCCGATGACCTTCTGGGCTGTGTTGATGACCCTCTGAAGGGCTTTCCTGTCCTTTTCTGAGCAGCTGGCACACCATGTGGTTAGGCAATATGCCAGCACACTCTCTATGGAGCAGCGGTAGAAAGACAACAGAAGCTTCTCATCCAGGTTGTTTTTCCTGAGGTCAGACAGAGGTGTCAACCATCAAAATCGAATAAGGGGGGCCAGAGATATGGAAAATCCACCCAAATGACCCCAGAAGTGGTTTCTTTTTTGCTAAATCTCTCTAAAAAGGTCAAATGTCACTTGTTTTGCATCAATCTTGATACAGGGTACTTATTATATGTTGTACTTTGGATTCCTTAAGCTTTTAGTGTACTAACCCATCATCCAAGGGTGGTTTTTACTATAAGTAAAAAAGAATTTTTGGACGGACACTATAATTTACAGTTTTTTACTATGTTCAATCTGAATTTTCTTTAAAATAAAAAACATCTATATTGATTCTGATTTTTCTACATCCAACTCACAGGTTTATCATTACTTTGAGAAAAAAGATTATTAATTTAACCCTTTTAGAAGGGAAGATATGGTCATTTGTTCTGGGAATGTCATTTTCGAGCCTGAGACCTGAAAAACAGGCTCAGGGCTTAACAGGTTAATCCATTGGCAGATGTTTGGGGAAAATCCTAGGTCAGATAGCTTGGAAACCAATCTGCCCGGGATGACTGTATTAAAGGCAGAACTGTAATCAACAAAGAGCATCCTCACATAGCTCCCCTGGTGTTCAAGGTGGGACACTGCACTGTGAAGAACAGTGGCGATGGCATCCTCTGTAGACCTATTTGCTCTATACGCAAACTGATTTGGGTCGAAGGTGGGTGGGAGAATGGTTTTGATGTGCTGCAGGACCAGCCTCTCGAAACACTTCTTGATGAGCGGTGTGAGTGCTACCGGACGGTAGTCATTGAGGCTGGAGATGATGGTTTTTTTCGGCAGAGGGATGATTGTGGCAGATTTCAGGCACGAAGGGATGATGGATTTGGAGTGACAGGTTGAAGATCTTTGTGAAGACCTCCGTAAGTTGGTCTGCACACTCCTTCAACACCCTTCCCGTCACGCCATCAGGGCCTGCAGCTTTCCTCGGGTTCACCGCTCTGAGCACATGCCTCACATCATGCTCCTGCACAGTGAGGGTGTAATTGTTGGATGCTGGTGAAGTTGTTGTGTCCGTCTCTACTGCATTGACCTCAAAACGAGCAAAGAAACAATTAAGTTCCTCTGCCAGTGAGGCGTCCCCGTCAACCGTTGTGCTGTTATTGTTCTTGTAGTTGGTGATGTGCTGTATACCTTGCCACACCCGCCGTGGATCGTTGTTGGTGAAGTGGTCCTCAATCTTCCTCTTCTAGGCTGCTTTGGCATCCCTGATGCCTCTCTTCAGGTTGGCTCTAGCTGCACTGTATTGAGCACTATCACCAGACCTGAAGGCGATGTTTCGGCCCTTGAGGAGAGCTCTGACCTCCTTCGTCATCCAGAGCTTCTGGTTGGGGTATATCTGAATACGTTTTTCAACAGTCACATTATTCACACAGTTCTGTATATAGCAGAGTACAGTTGATGCGTACTCCTCCAAGTCCTGAACCTCAAAAATATCCCAGTTAGTCCTTTTGAAGCAATCCTGTAGCTGCGAGGAAGCTCCTTCAGGCCATGTTTTAACAGTCTTTGTGGTGGGTTGAGTTTTCCTCCTGACAGGGGTGTATGCTGGAGTTAAAATGATGGACAGGTGATCTGACTGCCCTAGATGTGGTAGTGGTACAGACTTAAATTCCTTCTTAATATTTGAATAGGCCTTATCCAGTGTGTTTTTATCCCTGGTAGCACATTTTATGTGTTGTACAAACTTTGGGAGAACTGTCTTTAAGATGGTTAAATGGTTGAAATCTCCGGCTATGATATGGGCGGCTTCGGGATATGTGCTTTGTTGTGAATTGATAGCACTGTGCAGGTAGCCTAGCGCTATGTTAGCATTAGCATCTGGTGGTATGTAGACAGCTGTTACTATGACAACGGTAAACTCACGAGGGAGGTAAAAAGGCCTGCATTTCACTGTCAAGTACTCCAGGTCTGAAGAGCAATGACTGTCCATGATTATGGCGTCCTTGCACCAGTTGTTATGTACGTAAATGCATAACCCCCCTCCCCTGCTCTTACCGGAGTCAATGTTTCTGTCCCAGCGGTATGCTGTTCGCCCCGCTAGCTCAATGGCTCCGTCTGGGATAAGTGGGTGTAGCCATGTCTCCGTTATGATCAGGATGCAACAGTCTTGTACGTATTTATTTTCAGACATCTGTAGGTTTAGTTCATCCATTTTGTTGAGGATGGATCTGGCGTTCATGAGAAAGATGCTGGGTAGCGGTGGTTTGTGAGGTTGTCTCCTTAGCTTAGCCAGTTGACCGGACCGGCATCCCCGCTTCTGCTTCCTGCTCCTCCTCCGCCTCCGATGCCTGGTGGAGCCGACAACAATCCACGGAGAGCCCGGTGTCCTGGCTATCTCTTCCGGTATATTGTGGGAGTGCGAAAATGCACTTGTTATCGCCACATTGCACTGTAATCCTATCGTGAGTAGGTCCCTGCGGCTGTACATAGGATTCGCACTGCTAACCGTAACATTGGCTAGTAGACATACGGACGAAAACACACATAGAAAGCACAGAAAGGAAGAGCTACGAGCCGCTGCGACTGTGCGCGCCGCCATCATCTGGCCCAACCAGATGATGGCATGCAGGTAGTCCAGCCAGGAGGGAGTTGCAGTAGTCTAGGCGTGAGGTGACGAGAGCCTGGACCAGAAGTTGCGTCGCTTTCTGGGTCAGGAGGGGACGTATCCTCCTGATGTTGTAAAGAGTGTATCTGCAGCAGCGGGTTGTAGCAGCGATGTTTGCAGTGAAGGACAGTTTGTTATCTAGGGTCACACCCAGATTCCTTGCAGTCTGAGTCGGGGAAACAACAGAGGGGCCGATGTTGATTGTTAGGTCAAGAGTGGGACACTCTTTTCCCGGAAGGAAAAGCAGTTCAGTCTTGTCAAGGTTGAGCTTGAGGTAGTGAGCAGACATCCACCGAGCGATGTCTGCTAGACAAGCAGAGATGCGTGCGACGACCTGCGTTTCAGAACGGGGAAAATACAGAATTAATTGGGTGTCGTCAGCGTAGCAAAGGTAGGAAAAACCATGCGGGCTAATGACCAATCCGAGCAAGTTTGTGTACAGAGAGAAGAGGAGAGGACCAAGGACAGAGCCCTGAGGGACCCCTGTAGTTAATTGACAAGGGTCGGACTCGGACCCTCTCCAAGTTACCCTGTAGGTGCGGTCTTCGAGGTATGAGGTGAGGAGGGAAAGTGCAGAGCCTGAAACTCCAAGTTCTTGGAGAGTGCGAAGGAGGATCTGATGGTTCACCGTGTCGAATGCAGCAGACAGGTCCAAAAGGATGATGACAGAGGAGAGGGAGGCTGCTTTAGCAGTGTGCAGTTCCTCAGAGACAGCGAGAAAAACAGTGTGGAGTGACCTGCCTTGAAACCAGACTGGTGCGGATCAAGAAGGTTGTTCTGATGGAGATAACAGGAGAGTTGTTTAAAGACTGCGCGTTCAAGTGTTTTAGACAGGGACGGGAGGAGAGAGACAGGCCTGTCGTTTATAATATCGGACGGGTTGAGAGTGGGTTTCTTTAGGAGAGGGTTTACATTTATTTGTAGCTCAGCAAATGTGTTTTACCTTAAGTTTCAGTAAACTTTAGGAAACTCACAATCTGGCATGCAATCCGCTTCACTCATACCTCATACACACCAACGGTGTTTCAGGGCCGGTTTGGAGCTTGAAAAGCACCAGGTTTTCCTGTTCACACCGCAGCGGAGCAGCCTCTTAGCTCCGGAATCCGGTTCGTTTCAAGCACCAAAAAATTGTCCGGCTATAGCAAAAGCACGCATACGTCACGCTTATGTCGAGGCAGGGGCAGGGGCGGGATCAACTCCTGAACAACAACAAAAAGCCCGCGTTTTATCCAGTTTGTACACAACGATGGAGAAACTTAACAAGCAGCAGTGGTCCACTGAAGAGACCAGCTACCTACTGGGAATCTGGTCTTCCGAAGACGTACAGAGGAAGCTGGAGCACAATCGGCCATTGTTGTTGTTGTCGGTGTGAGCTGTGAGGGGTTTCCGCGCGGTTTGGCTTTATGAAGCAGACACGCAAGCGGTTACGTCATGACGCAAACGATGACGCAATGACGCAGCACCAGTCGGACTCTGGGCGGTGTGAAAAGAGCCGGAGCTAAACTGAAGAACTGGTTCTGAACCTGAAAAGCTCTAGCACGGAGCTTGAACCAGAGTTGCGTTGGTGTGAATGAGGTATGAGTGACTGTTCAGCTTTGATGAGGTTGTCAGAAAGAGCCAGGGTTTGAACTTTTCTCTCGGTTCTCTTTTGCATTCCTCACACAACATCATCGCTGATTAACACCATGAATCGTTATTGTGCCAATCGTATATATAAAAACATTAGTAAAATAGTTCTGTTTATCAGTATAATGTTTACTTGCATATGAAATGTGGTATGATTCCTTTATTGGATTCCCTGGGTCATAGGTTGAGCAGATTGCAACACACCTGTCTCTGGAGCCGTAGGGAAACTTGAGTGGGATTCTGTTCATCTTTGGAACATCTTTTTACAGGAAGCATTTGTGAAGTGTGGGGGAGCTTGCTGTGCTATAGTCTTTGTCATTGTTTTACCTATTATATTCAGGCAATATTCAGACTTTAAAATGTACACCGCATATACATAGCAGTCCTGGTTCGAACCGCTTATTCTTTCAGTATTTATCCCAGATAATCATTTGATTTTGACACAAAAAGCAGATCAATGAAACCTGGCCTAACAAAGAAAGATTAGAAACAGTGGCGTGATACCCATTATCACTGATTGGGTTTTATGGAGCCACCTCACACAAAGAAAGAAAGAAAGCCTGCCTTTGTCCAACATGCTTCGTAGTAAACCCTTTCAGGCTCAAATTGATTGTGCTTGAATTTTTGCTCAATGCATGTACCTTTGAAATCAAATGATTTTCAAATATATTACTAAAACAGTGCTTTAGAAAATATGCACATTTCAAAATGATGCTTTCAGATCAATACTTGAACACACATGGTGTTTACACGTGGCCATTCATTGTGATCTGCCGCCCTGCAGTCCCACCTTACTCCAACAGGTGGTGTGTCTGTCAGTTGAGGGCTTGAGACAGAGTTTCGGTGTTGCCATGACGGTGTCTGCTCACTGGTGGGTGGAGTACTCCAGACGCATACATTCCCTATCGCCACATGGGGCAGCAGTGAGCATCTTCTCATTTGCTGATCGACACATCTTTAGCATCGCTCCCATCACAGAGGTACTTCATACATTCTTTCATTTATTAATCCCAATCCAGTGTTCACATTTTACATTTTTCTAATCTTGAAAGATGCATCCAATCCAATCTGATTAAACATAATTATTTCTGATCCTCAGAGTAACACAATCATCAACACAGCCATACTGACCAACCAGCCGGTGTCACTTCCTGTCATTGTGCTGGCCATAAACCTTGATGGGAAGGTGTCAGATGTCACCTCTGCAGTCACATGCCACTCTACCAACGAGAACACTGTCAAGGTGAAGCGCACAGTCAAACACAAACAGTCTTTCAAAAGATTAGTTTGATATTACATTAAATACATGTATGTTTGTTCATTATCTTACCCAAAGGCAGATTAATAACAAAATGTTTGTCCGTGAAATGTTAGCCAAAACAAATCTTTCTTCATTGTCCACTTACTAGTTTCCTTCAGATGTTTCAATCACAACCAAATAATAGACTCCAGGAATCAGCTAGCACTAGATTTGTCAAGTTTAGCACACAATCTGGAAGTAGAGGTAGACCTCTGACGTAATAAATCTAAACTGTAGACCATGTGAAGGGACTTTCAAAGTTGACTGTCACTGCAGTATTTGGCATTCAGAATATTAAAATATTACCACCAACATCTGGTAAGGTATTTCATTATAGATAGACATATCTTTGGATTAAAGAATATTTAGTGAAACAAGATGTTAGAAATGTGAATGATCTTTGGTGACTAGACCATGTCATATATCTTACATCTAAAACAGGAAACATGAAAAGATTCAGGTAGGATTGAGTTCATAGGCCTGAATTGACATTTTTGTGAAAGCGGCAAATATATATAAATTGTTGTATGAAAAGTAAGACGACAATATGAAGTCAGAACACCTAAGTAGAAATGAAGTGCCAAAAGCTAAACAGAAATGATCCAAGCCGTCGCAAACAGAATGAAAGGGCCAACAACCAAGTGAAAATACCATGAGTGATGAAGACAGGCTCGACTAACAGCACAACCTGGAAACAGGTGATCTGCAGCATTAACACTTGAAATGTGAGATGACAGCTGGAGAGAGAAGATCAGATTTCACGTTAGACAGCAGCGAAATGATTGGCTGTTGTCACATCCTGACATGGAGTGTTGACTAAAAGAGTGGAGGCCCATGATCAGCTGATTGATAATTGAGATTGAATAGACTGAGGCCCAGGCTCCACGGGAACGCATACGGCAAAACGCATAGGATTAACGCAAACGCAATCGCCAAAAAGCTTCCGTCCACACGCAATATACACCGGATAGTGTCTTGCCACGCGAGACAGCTCCATTTAGATCCAACCGCTGGAAAAGCTGCAGTACATATGCCGAGCCTGTACGTGGCGCTGTAACTTCCTCCACAAAAGCAGCAACTTCCTCCACAAAAGCAGCGAAGAAGAATGGTTGTCATGGCTGCACTTCTGTTTATTCTCCGCGGTGGGGGCCGAGGGAACCGGGCAGAGTTTTTCTCCGGTCAACGTGTGTTAAAGTTTAAATCTTCTGGACAAAATTATAAAAGTGCCGGTCAAAGGTCTTCTTTGTTATTTATTGAGCTTTAAAACAAATGAATAACGACGATATAATGATATATAATCATAAAATAAACACAGCCTGTCTCTTTTTCCTCCCTCTCTTCTGACAGCGTCAGTGTCTGTCTCATGCAGCAGCTGATCCAGTAATGATGACTCGACAGTAAAAATAAACATATTTATGTCTAGTTTAGGTAGTTTGAGAGGTCATTAAAATAGCTAAGGGTGATGATCTGACTTGAAGTGTGTGACTTGCTCCCGCTGCTTCACAGCGGGAGGAGCTGCGTGTCTCCGTCCTGTCAGATTAGACTTCACTCGCGTTTATGTCCATATCGAGAGAAAGATAAATAATCTGAATTCAGTGTGCAGTGTACTTTTGCGGGGGTGAGCAGCAGAGGTGGGGGGAGGCGGGGTTATTGCGTCGTCATTATCAGAAAAGGATGACCGTATAGGCTACCACACGGCCCCGTTGGACCCCCCAGAGCGCTCCGTTCCCAGATCTATCCACCTTTGGACCCGTTGTCGTTTGCAGGGTCCGTTTCTACCATTCCGTTACGGCGTCGTGTAGCATAAAGGGCTATACGCAAGAGAAATATGCGGATACAACCCGTTTTCGTTCCCGTGGAGCCTAGGCCTTAGACATCAGCATAAGACAAACAGGAAGTAACCTGGGGCGACAGAGCCTTCTCCGTTGCTGCACCCACCCTCTGGAACTCACTACCCCAATCCATCAGAGATTCTTCCTCCCTCACCGCATTCAAAACATCACTCAAAACCCACCTGTTCAACACTGCATTCAACCACTGTCCATCCCCACCCTCCTATTTTCAGTTTTGTTTATCTCTTTTTGTATTTTTCTTGGTCTTTCTGTCAAGTTAACGCGTTAATAACGCGTTAACGCAAAAAAAAATTAACGCCACTAATTATTTTAACGCGATTAACGCATGTGTATTTTTTGTCCTCGGCCGCCCTGTAGTTTCAGAGCGCATCGAGTTTAAAATACCATCTACAAGCTGATGCTGACAGCCCCGCTCCTGCTGCCCGCTTGTGGCAGACCACACTTCCACGCTCACCGGCAGGCCCGGACTGGCCATCGGGAGGACCGGGAGGGTGTGTGTGGCGCGAGCGAGCGAGGCACACCTTACGTGTTGTTGTTGTTAGCATCTGGCAGAGGTGGGAGTAAGTCCTACATGTGCAAGTCATGAGCAAGTCTCAAGTCTTGACCTACAAGTATCAAGCAAGTCCCAAGTCACTGTGGTGAGAGTCAAGCAAGTCAAGTCAAGTCATTGCTCAGGTCAAGCAAGTCAAGTCAAGTCATACGAAATTCTGATGAATAAGCCCAGTTTCCGCATTTAAATCAGTTAAAAGACAGTGGTTATGAAAATGGATTTAACCCACACTATGATCTTCATCACATACACAGTTAATCATTTGAAATCTAATTTAGACCGATGACAATCATATTAGATTAATATTAACCCTAGAACTGCAGACAATATAGCTAGGACTCAGTCAAAGAGTCTGTTCAAAAAGGCAGAATTCCAGGTAAGAAAATCATATATGGCATTTGCCATTACACATATTTAATTTAAATTTCTGTTAACACTAGAACCGCCAACAGCGTCAGCACCTACATAGATATCATTTTCAAATCATTTAATTTGTTCCTCTTCATCATTTCCTTATAAACTAAGTAGGACGAGTTAAAACTCAGTTAATTTAGAAATTGCTTCAGTTTATCATCATAACAGATCAAAAAGTTCAGATTCATTTTACAATAAATCAAGGAATGATGCACTTCTACAAACAAAAACAACATAATTAAAACATTTAAACAAACTACTAAAAGTAGATGAACTACATTATTCAACAGTTTACAGTAACTTCTGATAATAACACAGGGGAAATAAATGAGGCATCTCTTTTCCTCTCTCTCTCCCTCTCCTGACAGCCCGTCAGTATCAGGGTTAGTCAAAATGAATCCCTTGGCGGTTCTAGTGTTCATTTACCGTTTTGTCTTCTCTTTGCAATGCTTAATCGATTTGAAACCAAGTCTAACGTAGCTTAAACTTAACGTTAGCTTTCTAGCTAACACAACACATTCACGCACCTTTCTCTGAGGGTTTTTTTGTAGTGACGAATGAAGTTGGATGTTGTGGTGGTCGTGTCACTGATCTTTATGCTGCAGACCCTGCCTACCGCTGTTCTCTTCTTATTAGCGTCATCGACAACATAATCCTTGAATCCAAACTTCACTATTTTTGGAGTAACGCTAGCCGCTGCCCTGTTAACTGACGCTCCTGCCGTCTAGTGGGTTGGGTTGCCAGGTTTGCGCGCACGGCGCTATAATCACCCAATCACGTTTTTCGAAAAAACTAAACGTAATATCTCACGACAAAAACAAACGCAAATATTTAATTTTAAACAGTCAAGTCCTTTCAAGTCATCTGTCTCAAGCTTAAGTCAAGTCTCAAGTCATGAATACCAAGTCAAAGTCAAGTCAAGTCTTTTATCAATGTTAGTCAAGCAAGTCTCAAATCCAAAAATATGCGACTCGAGTCTGACTCGAGTCAAGTCATGTGACTCGAGTCCCCACCTCTGGCATCTGGTGCTAGCTAGCTGCGCTAACGGATATAAGGAGCTGTTTCAATGAAAACAGAGGAGCGACATTTCGCCGACAACTGCACCGAGCACTTGACTTTATGCAGGTAGCCAGACAGTGGGACATTGTACGAAAAGTCAGCACACTCAGCACGGATAGTGCGCGCAACATGATTGCAGCGTCCAGGCCGCTCCCGTTCGAGCATATATGCCTTGAGCTGCACATAGCTCCAACGATCCATCACAGTGTCTCTCCACACACACACACGCACGCACGCACGCACGCACGCACGCACGCACACACACACACACACACACTTTGTATTGTATTAATGTATGAGAGAGGTTCCAGGTTGAATTGAGGCGAATATTTGTAATGTTCAGAGGTTGTTGTGTTTAATATTCATGAGAATATTTGTCATTGTTCAAATGATAATAAACAAACCAACACAATCTCACTCCACAAACGTCCAGGAGCGACGCTTGGTCAGGGTCCCGAGGCGTGCAGTTGGGACGCTCCTAGGCTCCTTCAGCTTCATAAAGGGACGCAAATAGCTTTCAACTGATTGCAATGTATTCCCATCTGCGGCGGGATTTGACGCTCATGGAAGCACGGCATTCGTTTGTGTCGGCGGCATTTAAAGGCAATGTGAGCGTCCATTTCCATTGGATAACGGAGAATTGTACACCCGGAAGTAAGTATTCCCCTTACTGTCGATTGATTTGACAGTGATATCTGCACTACTCATCAACTCAAAAACACCAGATTATCCTTGTTAATTACACAACATTGATTGGTTTAAATTGTGTGCAATGCTTTTGTATTTTTCCCCTTCGATTCGGAGAAACAAATATTTTTTCGGAGTTTAGGATGGCAGAAGACACTACACTACCCAGAATCCCCAGCTATCGTTTAGGACTACACCATGTGCTCTGTTTGCAGGGATGCAAACTTGTCACCTTTCGGCGAAATTCGCCGTTTTGAATCCAAAATAGGTAGTTTGTGTGATTCATGTAGATCTGCAATAAAAATATTTTCGGGGTATGGGGGGGGGTCTGGAACCCGGAGTAATCTGCGGCCGCGAGCTGTTATGTGCCATCATGACAC